AAAGAGGTTGTTCCACATTATTAAGCAAGTCACAGTTCTCAGGCGATATGGTGAGGAAGAAAGATCTTTCTGAAGATGAAAAGTATGAAACAATGCAATGTTTTGCAAAAGGCATCAAACCAAATAATATTTTGCAAAAAGCAAATAGAGATTATTGAACTGTCAAAAGATATGTGAGTAACTTAGAGCACAGAAGATCTTGGTTAGATAAAGATTTATTAAGTAAAGTTTCTGTCAAACTATTGAACTGTATTGTAATGCCAGCTGTAAAAAAAAAAACACTGCTGAGCAGCAAACAGGTGTTTGAAGCTACTGGAGTCTCAAGATCCTCTCCATGCAGACTGGCAGTTGTGTGTAAAGCTGCGTTTCAGTCACTGCTAACCAAACCTCACAAAGAGAAACCTGCACAGTGTAGAAATCTTTTACAAATTGTTAAATCGTTTTTGGGACAAAAAATATTTGTTTTCTGAGCTCGGAGATTGTAGTGTATACTAGGGGTGCAAATGGTTCAAATTACTCATGGTTCGGTTTGTATCACGGTTTTAGAGTCATGGTTTTTAGTATGTCATTTGGTATGTGGTGTTTTAGGGAAAAAAGGACTATACTTTCAAATAAAGAAAATAAGAATACATAGTCTAACTACAAGCAACAGCACAAATAAATACAATAGAGCAAAGATACAAATAAACTAAAAAGTGCTTTTCAGGGGTTTTTTTTAGGTAGGGCTAACATTAGTTTTTAGGTACAGAAATTGAATAATGTAATCAAATGTAAAATAACATTGCATATTTGACTGTATAAATTAAAGATTAATCCTTATTAAAGTTACAAAAGCTGTTCAATCAAGAGCAGTGAGTGATTTCCTTGTCTTTTGTTGTTTGACTAACATTAAGAAAGTGCTGTCACTTTAAGACAATGCACAGATCAAGTAACATTACACTGATACTGTTCATTCAACCGACTCTGTCTGCTAGGAAACTCACCAAGACAGGCATTTTGACATAATATTTGAATTTGTCCATTCAAGCACAAGTCTTGAAAGAGAACTCAGTATTTGCGCAGAGCTCGGGTTTGGCACTTCTGATGAGTGCACACACAAATTTTCTCACAGCGCACATGAGTTCTCATTCGTGTCTTCTGGATCTTGAATGTTTAAACTGGCAAGGCTTAACTGAGTTTAGTTTAAATAGATTGCAACGTGTGCTGTTCAGGTCTCACCGGCGCATGCGCACTATCAACACCTGGGTGGTGATGGCATCAATACTAGTCGTATTCCAGCATATGGCACTCGCATTGAACAAAGTTTACAAAGAGTGACTGGTTTGTCCACGTTTCTTTTTAAATTTCTTTTGTTGTTGTAATCTATTGGGAAGCCAGAATGCGTATCCATCGACAGAAACATATATCAGCCGAATTCTGTCTGCTTTACGTATTATTTTTAACAAGCCATATTACAGATGCGTTGTCAAATTTTATCGCAATGCAAGTGCGTGCCGAACCGTGGGTGGAGAACGGTATGGTTAGTTTTTTTACTGAGAACAGTTACACCCGTAGTATACACTGTAAGTTTTTTTTTTTCTTGGGCCCTAATGACCTTTCCTCACACATTGTTGTACCTGCATGAATGGTCATGTGACCTGCGTTTTCGGTTGTGTAGTGTGGATGGAGAACGTTTCTGAAACGCAGTGTAGACGAGGATTGTTTTCATTTTAAAACGCCGCTTTAAAACGAAAATGCACTAGTGTAAACGTAGCCTTATTCACCCTCATGTTGTTCCAAACCTGTATTAGTTTCTTGATTCTGCTGAAGGTATTTTGAAGAATTTTCAAAATACTGACTTCCATAGTATGGAAAAAACTATATGGAATTCAATGGCTACTGTCAACTGTTTGGGTACCCACATTCTTCAGAATATCTATTATGTTCACGTTCACCACAATAAAGAAATTCATACAGGTTTAGGAGTGAACTGTCCCAGCTTATTGCATGTGAACCCTTATTTAAACATTTTTGGGTCACAACCCGTCTTACCATCTTCATCTACTACTTCAATGATAGCATCCAGCTCCTCTCTGGTTGGATTCTGACCCAGCATCCTCATAACTCCTTGGTGCTGATATCACCACCACCATCAGTGTCGAAAGCAGCCTTGAACTCTTTGATTTGAGATGACCAAAAAAAAAAGATTTGAAAACTTTGTGAAAAGCTCCATAATAAGATTTAATAAAAAATACATTAACAATTCACCACTTAAAGGAAAGCAATCTGAATCAAATGTTTTGAATGAGCAAAATCATGTAGAGATTGTAAAAGTTCACATACCAGCAATCATTTCCTCACTCAGGAAAGAGCGGGTGTCTATCTGGGCATCAGTGGGCTAATGAGAAAAAGAGATTGCAATATACTAAAAGCCTCATGGGGCATTCACAAATCAGACTGAACATTTTAAATGACTTTGTTCATTCGTTATTTGGAACTGGACGAGCTTCACAGGGGGTTCCTAGCCTTGGATTAAGCAAGGAAAATATATTTCCAGAAATATTAATGACAAAGAGCAGACAGGAACAACAATATGACAAGCTTTTCCTTTAAAAAAGTTCTGTCTGAGTTCAACTTTATAAAGTAAAAATATGTGGAAACTTCAGTGGCCTCAAAAAGTATTTGGTAATAATAAGTGTTATAATAAATGTTCATTAAAGGAGGTAGGTAAACACTAAAGGAGGTAGAGCTTTTTCGCATTTGGCTCCCAAACTCTGGAATAGCCTTCCCGATAACGTTCGGGATTCAGACACACTGTCTCTGTTTAAATCTAGATTAAAGACACATCTCTTTAGCCACACATTCACATAATGCATCTCATAATCTTGTACTGCAGTTATATTTGATCAAATGCACATTATTATTCTTTAGTTTGGGTTAAACAAATCAATTTTGCTTGGTTGGAACAGCAGCTACGCTAATTTTGTCTCTATTTGTTTCTCTGTTTTTGCCACTAGGATTTACACAAGCTTCAGTCTGGATCCAGAACACTTGAGAAGAGATGATGCCAACCCCTCAGAGGACCTCAGATGATGCCAACCCTGAAACAACTTACAGAACCGCCACATTTTGCTATAAGTTTGATTGCATCATATAATAATTGCTGTTAGTGTTCATCGTCTGTTTGATTACGTCTTTAATTGATTTTTCCGTACATGTCTGCCATACGTACATTAACTGACAGTTACCACTGATAAGCTACCACTAAATATTGTAGAAACTTAATCTGCTGTAAAGTTGCTTTGCAATGATTTGTATTGTGAAAAGCACTATACAAATAATTATTAAAAAAACACCATTAGTGTAAAAGTGTAAGATTATCACTGCAAAATACTTTCAAGGTAACCTCAAGGTTGACACTTAATACACTTAATAATCTAATTAATCAATTAATTTTATTAATGATCTCTTTTTTGCCTGTTCTTGCTTTGGTTTTGTGTAAAAATGCTATTTTATACCAACATGAATATACCCCTTCTAATAATATATCCGCTTCTAAAGTCAGAATCCTGTTGTTCACATGCACATTCTCAGGAGGAATCACAGAATGACACTGCAAATGTCAAAGGACCATGATAGTCTCAGCACTGTAATCAAACCCTATAAATTCCCTCTCTTTGATGATGTGGCTTACCACATGTATCCAGAGACCACGAACACTAACACTAGCATACGTGACAGGCAAAGAAAATTAGTCACTTGTCAATCACTAGAAAACACACTAAATACGTAACAGTAGTGATGATATAAATATTAATTGCACTGTAAACATATTTGCAAAACACAACAAGCCAAAATGACTCATGAAATTTAAGCCTTATATTCGTCCAGGCTCAATATTAACATATACAGTTCTACACTCAGAATGTGATTTATGTGTAGCATCTATGCAAACTGGTTTTATTCAAGTAAAATATTATTCAATATGACCAAATCAACTTAATGTCATTAAGTTAGAACAAGTAGAGGTTTAGACCAAGTAAACCTGCACATATCCACTTGTTCATTCTCTTCAAGATCTTCTAGAAAATTGTCCTGTCATAAGTATGAATCCATTCTGTGTGATCATACAAAGACTGACTAAAGCATCTCGTCCATATCTACTTATTTCCAGAAATCTTACCACATTGATAGCTCGTTATTGAGATAAAAGCGTATCTGAAAACAATAACAGTCTTCTGTCCAGCAGCCTTCCTCCTAAACGTATGTCTCCAGACTCCCCTAATAAGACCTCCTATTATTCTCACTATTCAAGAAAATGGCCAGGATTGGACAAGAAACTCTAGAGACTGAACGTGTCAACCAATGTCTGTTCAGCCTTAAAAAAGCCCCACCCTTCTTCTTCGTCCCTTTCTAATCCAGTGCCCCATATTTAGCTGAAGGAAGAACAAATGGTCTCAACGACATTTCCCTGCCAATAAATAAAAAAATAAGGAAAGCAATGCAAGGTTATTTAAGCAGTGGATAAATAGATTCCAGAAGCAGATGCTGGCTACAATCACTTCCACACACAAGGTTGGATCCCTTGTGACTGTGCTTCTCCACCTTATCTGTCAGTCTTACCATCTAGCAGTCAATTTGGCTGCGTATCCCTGTCTATACTGACCGGCTCACTTACATCTGCATCAGATCGAAACATATTAAGAAACAGTGAATCACAATATGATAATGAGGCTTCACAGTCAGTTGGTCATTGTATTACTCTGAAGGGGTTTATTATCCAGCTACACTCTCAAAAAAGATACAAAATATGTCCCTGGGGAGGTACCCTTTCATTTAGGTAGCAATCTGTACAATTTAGGTACTAATATAAAAATTTTACCTTTTGAAAAGGTACTGCCCCAGTGACATCTTTTGTACAATTATTTCTGATTGAGTACTCACCAAATAAACAAATATGTGTGGTGTTAAAAACTGGTTCCTAATGTTACTTGTAACTACATTAACTAAAGCTTAAAGCCTCTGAGCTAATTTTCACTACAAATGATAACTGAGACGCAAGGTGGTACAAGTTGCATTTGTATGAAACGGGAGTGTACTACATTTGATGAGGAATGAACATTGCGACTGTAAAAAAAAAAAAAAGTTCTGTGAAGTATGAATCACTGCGTCTGAATATGCCTATTTTCCTACTAGAAGATGAAAAACAGCATGTGACATGGGTGGAGTTCATAGAGTTTATATTATTTAGTCCATGGATGACCAACTACTTCCACAGAGATTCTGAAGTTTGCTATTAAAATTTTGTATAAGTCTGGATTTTATTCATATTACACACATTCATATAAACCACAAGGGTTGCAAAGTTTGTTCCTAATAAAATGTAGTAGGCCTTCATATTCAGACAGCATACAATTTCAGAAACACTTCATTTGTGTAGTTTGAATGAAATCTATCAACCATTATGGCTCTACCACTGGAGAAAGCTTAATAGTTAACTTCAGTCTTAAAAATAAAAATTCTTTAGTGGCATCAATGGTTCCATGAAGAACCTTTAACATCCATGAAACCTTTCCATTGCATAAAAAGTTCTTTAGATTAATAAAATGTTCTTTTCAAAAAGTTCCTTTAAGAACTGTTCGTCATCATTACCATTCCATGCCTTATCCAGTTTCTCCCAATAATCCTCAGACTGCTAGAGTTTCGTAGGCTTTGCAAATATATCTACTCAAAAGAAGAGTCTTCGTAGATAGTGTTGATCCACATGCTTAACACACCCACACCCATCACTTACAAACACTTGTAACTCAACTTGTAATACAGTAAAATCGAAGTCATGATGTGTAAAGATGTCATAGCCAAATGTAGACTTGTGTCATGGTCTCAATTAAAGGCACAACCCTGTGTCCGAAACAATGCTGCCTTGCTTTTGGATATCAGACAAAATTTCATACAGTATCTACTGATGGGAGAGATATCTAGTAAAGCAACTGAATCTAACACCCATGTACACAGTATGAGAGTTGAAAATGATTAATTAAAATTGTTCTATACATCTTTAACAGTTCTTCTAATCCAGCAGCAATGCCTGTGGCAAGAAAAGTAATGAAACCCAACTTCCTTTCCAGTGAAAGCCCAGAAAAGTAATGAAACCCAACTTCCTTTCCAGTGAAAGCCCACTTATTCTCCTTATTATGGTCTGGATGTGATGAAGGCGGTCTATTATCTTATGAGCATGCAGTTTTCTCCTTATTATCTATATTATTATCAGAATTTGACATGTTGAATTCCCCCACAAACAAATCATTAATTAATTAAAATAAAACAGACAAACAAACATATTCCGTCAGTCTCTCAACCTGTTAATCTCACTAACCTCTATAAGTAAAAAAGTTTCCATATACTTATGAGGATGACTTTGAGCATCAGAATAGCTGTTTACTCATTACGGATAGATTTACTTAAATGAACAAATCACACAGGGCAGAGTGAGTGTCCTGTCATCACTGATTCTAATCCAGCCCCCATCCAGTCCATAAGGCAGAGTGTACTGGTGGGGCTGCTGCACATAGGTAACCTCTGGGGACTCAGTTAACAAGCATTTATTCTTCATGAGTGCCTAATGTCACCCTTAAAGACTTAAAAGACGTTTAAGCTGAGGTAATTGACAGCAGCAACTGTCAACCTCTAGTTCCAGCCACTCTGCCAAACACTCCTCCTTTTTTCTTCGCTCTATTCTTGGACATTCTTAAGCACAGCAGCTGAATCTTGGAGAACAACTAGATGTGTTGCAAGCTAAATAAGGAGAGAGCAGTGAACGCCCCTGCTCTTGTCCTCTCCTTAAAACCCTGTTTTCTATCAAGAGTGTTCATTGATTCTACAATAATTGCACCACTGAATGCAATACAAGCCAGTCGATAGATGTTTGATCAATATCCTTTGAACAACATGATTTGGTTTATCAGTTGACTACACCAGTGTGATAAATCAATGTTGCTTGTAAACCTTGGCTTTTCCCCTTGTTTTCTGTACATGAAGAAAACCATTCTAAACAGGTTTGGGGGTTGTTCATCTACTCCTGTCAATCACAACGCAAGGGTATATGAACAATGCTTACCTCCAGCTGTGACAACTCTTCCGGCATCCTTTCACCACCATGAGTTCACTCTATTTTAAATCACTTCTATTAACATTTTGATCTTCTTTCATTATCGTGTTTCTATTATTGACAAGAGAAGACGAAATCAAATACGAAGACAATAAATGCCATATAGGCTATTTACATACAGAGTTTTTATTTTTTTTATTTTACTATGTTAATTGTGTTTTATTTTAATAGTCTGCACGTTGGATAGACGTTGTGCTTGAATAAATTTAACTGTAGCATTTTAACTCTTAACCGAGATTTTGTTGATATAGCATGCAGCATCAAGCACAGAAAACGTCTCATGTGAATAAATTATTACAAACGTCATACAAATTAAATCGAATAACATTATCGAATAACAGACATCAATTATATACCATTTGTGGGATCTTTGAACTGATATGACTTGATGTATTAAGTTAACAAAACAGTTGCAAATCACATTTTATGGCAATTCTGACTGAATGTCAACTCCATGATACACGAAAATCACCACAAAAGTTTACACTTCTGTTGTGATTGGAGTGACTTGAACTGGTGAATATAATAAGTGTACTTTTGTATTTATTATAAACCCGTTTTTTTTGACAAATATGAACATATACTTTAATTGCACCCATAATCAATCAATCAATCAATAAAAAAAGTTCATTAAGTTGGTTAAATAGAGTATTCAAAAAATGTCAACAATTGAATCAAATGATTAATCTATTTCAAATCAAATGATAGATTATTCTAATTGCATATTGGATTAATATTAAACATTTAAACAAATTTATAGTTGTTTGTAGATGGATTAGCTATTAATTTGACATTTTTGTCCATTACAATGAATAACATCAAGAAACATTAAAATATTTTCTTTATTTTACTTTATTTTTAGGGCAGAAAGCAAAAAAATCCTTGATTATTAGATTACAACCTAATAGCCTACTCCTCTGCGGATTTAACAATTTAACAGTCTTAACGGACAATCGACTCTTTCAACTGGTTATTTTTACGAGAGGTATGCCTCTTTGAGTGACTTTAAGCCCCACCTTCATTCAAGTCACTCACCTGTCTGCATCTTTTCTGAAGACACATCGCGTGCAGGCGCAACAAATGCGAACATCAGTCACCGCGTTGCCAAACTCCCAAAGCTGTCATAAAAGTGCACGTCCTCGCCCAAAATGCGTTTCAAACGTGCTTTACCATGTGCCATTCTATGGACTGCAGTCTACGCGTGTCTGAGTCCAAGCCAGGATGCCAACATCACTTCAGACGCCCTCCAGCTGTTGGACCAGGGACGCTGCCTCTTCAGATCCATCCTGCCGTCAGATACAGCTGTGCAGGTACTGGTGTGTGTCTTTGCTTTGATGACCATCATCTCACTTATCGTCAACGGCTGCACTCTGTTCAGTCTTGGGAGATCAGAAGACCTATCCTGGGAGCCACGCTTTGCCCTGCTGAAGAACCTCATAGTAAGTGACGTCCTACTCATTGTAACCCAAGGTCCAACAGTGGCACACTGTCTGCTGCAGAAGACCACGCTGTCATATGGAGCTTGGTGCCTCACTCAGTTCTTTATTAACACGGTTTGTGTTTTCTGCACTGTGCTTACTATCACCTGCATGGCTTTTGAGCGCTACCTATATGTGTGCCAGGCCATCTACTACATTAGTATACTAACCACCAAGCGCCTCTACCTCATAGTCAGTCTCACATGGCTTATTTCAATATGCTTATCGGCAGTGATCACAGGTTTGCTCAGTTTAGGGCACAAGAGCTCATTGGTGGGGAAACCCATTACGGGACTCCTTTGTGAGCCGGACACCTTAGAGGCCCACCTTGGCTTTCCACGAGGCTCTGCAGTGTTTCGAAAAGTAGTTGGACTTTTGGTGACACTGCTTTGCATCTTTTCCTACTCCTTCTCGTACCTGCGCATGTATCAGGAGGCACGCAATGCCATTCAGCCTTTCCAGCAGGTCAACAAGAGGGCACGCAAAACGGTGATATTCTACTGCTCCATGCTGCTGCTTCAGTTGCTCCCCATCTTTCTGAAGATAGTCTCTGATGCTCTGTGGGAACTGGAGGGCAACATTGCAATGATCCGTTCGCTGGATTACCCTGGAGACTGGATGTCGGCAGGAACCCTACACATCATGCTGCTGGTGATGCTTCAGGTGCCTCCTTGCATTAATCCACTCATCTACGGTTTGCGCAACAGAGAGGTGAGGGAAGCTCTGCCCAGGCTGCTGTGCTGGAGAAGAAACAACCGGTAAGCGAGACCAGGGTTAAAGCCAGGAAGTCGCATCTTCTATTTGAGATGGTTCAGGATATTTTCAGAAATGCTTGTTAACTGAGCCCTCAGAGGTTAGCATTCCTGGCAGAAGTGGAAATAGGATAGATGAGTGTGTAATGTGTAAGTCTGGATCGCATGGTTTATTGTAAGATTAATATGACCCACAATATAAAACTTTAATGAAAGATATTTTGAATGCAAAACAGTAAATCTGACTCAAATGTAATGTGCCTTTTGTTCGCATAAAACATGCATCTCCTCATGACGTTTCTATGTTAATATAATTAGATTACACTTAACATTAATTTGTTTAGTTTACGCATCATGAATTAATAGCATTTATTAATGTAGGTTTGTGTAAGTTTATAAATAAACTATTGTTCATTGTTAATTCCGATTTGTTCATAATTTAATTGATTAAATTATTTTTTTAAAGTTGACATTTTAAAACATTGTTAAGAGATAATTAGCATTAACCAACAATAAAAATGTTGTAAAAGTTAGGCCTATTGTAAAGTATAATCTATATTTATATATTTTAAATATATGATTGATTGTGTACTATTAACCAACTATATTATTTAGTCTATTTTTGACAAGAAAGGAAGTAAAACACTCAAAGTCTGTGAATTTCATAGATGGTCCCACTGATGCTCATGTACTCAATGCATTGTTTAAAGTACATATCTGACAGCTTGTATATAACCATGACAACATATACATATGCCTAAAGCTGTGAAATATAATTGTGTTAATAATTACCTACCAAGAATGCAGATGTACTGGAAGAAGGCATATATGCAGAATATATATCAGAAATGAGTGAAGGTGAAATACGTGTCTATATGTCAGTATAAAATATCAGGGTTTAATTGCAGAGACTAATACAGTGGCTTCATAAATTAAAAATTGTGAGGGAAAAAAATTGAGATGTAAATGTGAACAGATGAAGGAGAGAATCATGTTTTGTTACATGTTATATATTTATGTGTATTTATTTGATTGTTCATTTATTGTGACAAAAATGAATTTTCATCATGTTGCCATCTATGTAAGATGCTCATTTATGCATTATGAAGGCACTGTTGATTCTTTCCACTCTCTTTGGTTTTGTTGAAATTCGTGTAGAAATTTACAAATTTTTGCTAAATTTAATGTGCAAAGTAATAAGTATATGTGAGATGTAATGATATAATTATTTGGTGCAAAATAATAAAAATACTCTGTTAAACTTTATATCTCTAGACTGTCTCCATTGATATGTCTGATACCTGCAGTTCCTGTGCTTAGTAATCTGCTGGAAGTGGCAAATCCATTAACTGGACTCGAATGACTGTTACTTCCGCATTACGGAAAAAAACCTGAGAAGAGCACGTAGCAAGACCACATAGCAAGACACTAACAAAAACAACACCTTAGCAACAGCACAGCTTCACACTTCAAGCACCACTCACATTTTCTTCCAAACATCTATTTTTAATTTGACCAAATGGGCCATTTTATTATAATCATTATCATTTACTGCATCGACAGTGATTAAAAAGGTTGGTGTTGCTGCATGTACTACAACATGTTACATTACTGCAGCATTTGACACTTTTTGAAACGTGCATCTGCATCTGGAATCTGATCAGGCTAAACAAGTGATGGGAAAATGGCAATAATTCAAATAAGGATGAAATGTTTCTTTTAAAGTCCATTTTCATTCTGGCAAAATGTGTGAAAACCAAAGTGGCAAAACCAACAGGTCCTGCTTAACAACTATAGGCTACTATAGATAGTTATTGGTGAGCTCCCTCTAGTGATTAAAGAGAGTAACATTTTACCTTAGCATTTTAAAGTTATTGTTCAGTTCAAGTTCTCCATATATAAAGCCTCTTTTAATTATAAGATGAACATTTAAACTAATATGAATGTTGTGGTTTAAAAACAGAGAGATGGCAATAAGATAATAGAAAATAACTATTTAAAACAATTAAACAAAACAATTTGGGCATGGAAAATCCATTCTGAATTAAATGAAACCAACAAAAGAAATAAGCATGAAGTGATCAAAGCGTTCTTCCTCACAGGTGCAGAAAGACAAAGGAATGAGGAAGTGATGAGTTGTTGTGCAATCAGTCACTTCACATTAATGCATTACAGGGAAATTGAACTGTAGCTCACACACAAGCCACAGAAACTGACCTGAAACCAAAGACACACATGTTGTATAGGTGAGTGCAATTTTCTGATTCATTATAATCATACAACATAAGTTGACATTCAGTTGGTATTGTAATTGTTGTAAAACAAACAACTTTTTGGGAGGAATATACAATATAGTACTTACAGTCTGTAGTCTTTAGCACCAGCAAGGCTTAAGAATGATACATTCTTCTTGAGTGGCTGGCAGAACCAGTTTGTGTGTTGCAAAAACCTTTGTAGCCATCTACCTCAAACTAAAAACCGTATTTATTTGAAGACAGGTGCAACTGGTATATTCTTTTTTTTATTTTTATTTTTTCTTTAAATGAGGCAAGAATGATACCAATGTAAAAATGAAAATGCATTTTTAATTACACATTGCAGTGTTAGGTTTAGCCACCCCGTGTATCTTCTAAACTCACCATTTTTGTTATATGATATTTTTTATTTATTTATTTATTTTTTGTTGTGTTTTTTGTTTTGCATGTCAGTTACATACATTGTCCAGTGGGTTTTGTGTCAAAACAAATGTACCCAGACACATGCACACACAAAATATACAGTACATGTTGGCAATTTACCGACATATAAAATCACTAGCACTGTGAAAATAAACTTTTAAGAAAAATTATCCAGGATTTTTAGAACTAAAGAAATTTTTTTTTTTTCACAAACAGGAAATTAAAGGAGGAAGCAACATTCATATCTATCAGCAAAGGGTGGAATGTAAAATAGTCTCACCAAGACAATAACTTCACCTTGGTTTTATTTTATTTTTCATATGAAAATATGCAGAAATAGGTCACATTACATATTACAGGAGTCACTCTCTTTGAATTCCATATGTTTTGTCCCTTGAACTATGCTCTATATTCAAGCAACTGCATAGCAACATGCTAAAACTTAACACCTGTCCTGGCAATCAGTCAAAGCACCTTAGCATCACAATAGGAGTTTAGCAAGTGCAGGCACCACTCCAATTATGAATAAAAATGTACCTCAATCATGGCCCAACTTATCCCTCACCCCAACTAGGATGCAAGTTGAAATAATTAATTTCTGTACCACAAACAGCACAAATCACTGCCTCTTTTGAAAAGACCCTAATCTTACAACTTCACTAAAATAGTTAAATGTGCTCATGTTAACTTCCATTCCAGCATCCATGGAGAACAAATGGGATGCACACCAGCAACAGGAACCTTGCTCAGATAACAACCTTGTATTTATTTGCAAGTTACCAGTCAGGGAAGGTATCCAGTTACTGGACAGCCAGGAGCCCGTTCAGATCAAGCTCCCAGCGCAATGCAGCGTCCACCAGCTTCGTGTGCGTCTGTGTATGGTAGCACAGGAGAATAATAGACTTTCAGAGCCATTTGCACTTCTGGACCCAGAACGATACAGTCTGTTGTACCACAAGGAGGAGGAGTGGTATGAAATTTATGACGACTATCAGGTATTGAAAACTCTGGATGCACCCTGGTTTAAGGGTGTTGATGGTCTTCAGACTGTCTGTGTCACTGTGCTGGCTCAGAAAACCACCTCTAAGGAGAGAATTCACTTCCAGGGCATTCTGAACGAGCTAACCGGCTATGATTTGGACTCCTCAGACACTAATCGTTTAAGTGAGCTAGGCTATACCCGAAGAAAGTTTGCCACACCAAGAAGGGAAGAACTGAAAAAGCGGGATCCAATAGCTTATGCCACTGAACCGTGGATAACTTCCACAGTGCTTCCAAATGACCAGCAAGGTTACCTTCATTCAAAACTCTCAGTGACTCTTTATTATAATAGTTCAGTCCTTTCCATTAAAGCTGACGTGACACATACCACCAGTGATCTCCTCAAAATCTTCTGGGAATCATTGCCAAAGGAGGACCTGTCATTCGAAGGATGGTCGGTTGATTATGTGCTCAAGGTATGTGGCAGGGAGGAATTCTTGAGTGAAGACTTCCAGCTTTCTGACTATCTGTGGGTCAGACACTGCCTTGAAAACATGCTGGAGCTTCATCTCTCAGTGGTTGCCGTCTCATCCCTTCCAGATAACACAGTAGGTAGAGAGTACTGGCCACTGGTGGACAGTCTCACTGGTCTCTCAAGCTCCCACAAGGAGCTTTCCATTAAAGAGAAGAAAGTAGAGGACATTGTGATGATTTCCCTCTGGGACTGTGAGAGAAAGTTCAGGGTTAAACTCCTAGGGTTTGATATCCCAGAACTCCCAAGTAAGGTACCACCACTTGTCCAAGTGGAAGCCACCATAATCTACGGTAGAAAGACTGTGTCGTCGGTTTGTTCGACTTCAAAAGAGTTTACAGATGAAGTGCTGTGGAACACCTGGCTGGAATTTGACATTCTGATCAGGGATATCCCTCACGGAGCTAAATTAGGCCTCACAATTAATGCCAGTACTGTTGAAGGCATGTCAACCAAGGACACAAAGTCGAACTCCTCTAAAGCGTCAGATTACCAGAAAGGAAAAGGGCAAGTATTATACTTTGTAAACCTCCAGCTGATTGACCACAGATCCCTTCTTAGCCAAGGTCCACACACTCTGCACATGTGGACTTTCCCAGAATGGGATGAGGAGGCATTCACTTTCGAAGCAGAAAAACTGTCTACAGCCACAAACCCTGATGTAGCCAAAGCAATGGCAATTACCTTTATGCTGGATCGCTACAGCTTTCCCATTGTCCTGCCACATGCCAAAAGCTCTTCTGGTAGTGGTACATCTCCTATTTCTGATTCTTCTTCACTGGACCTTACTGGAGAATCCAGACTCTCCTCACCATCCAGTGAGGCTTCTCCAACAACACCTTTCACAAGGACAGATTGCCTCAGAAGGTTTAAAGAAGAAAGTGTCCACTATGCCTCAAATTTACCACATTTTCTTCGCACGATCGACTGGATGATGCCAACTGCGGTCCAGGATGTCCATTGGCTATTGAGTCACTGGGGACCAGAGGATATAGAGCTGTCTGTGGCCCTTGAGCTTCTGAGTGTGGATTTTGCAGATCTGAAGGTCAGAAGATTGGCAGTTCAAAGATTAGAGATCCTATCCAATGATGAAGTACTTAAGTACCTGCTGCAGCTGGTTCAGGTAAAGAATTATACAAGTGTATTGGCCTGTACAGTAATGCTAGTTTTGGAACTCACAGTTGGAGAATTGAGAAGCAAAACCTAATAAGGCATGTCATTTTCTGTAGACCCTTAAAGTCGAACCATATCATGATAACTGTTTGGCAAGATTCCTTCTCAAAAGAGCACTACGGGTGAGTCATGTTTGCAGCTGTGCATACTTCATTAGAGAATGATTTTCATCTCTATCATTTTCACCAAAAATTACTAACACCATTTCACCTGTCAGAAGATAAAGATTAACTATGTACTGTTGCCATTTCCTGGAACACAGAGCAAGCGGATCGGACACTTCTTTTTCTGGTATTTGCGGAGTGAGGTGGCAGGTTGCCCATTTTTTCGCCAGCGTATGGCGGTCATACTGGAGGCATATCTTTTGGGCTGTGGAGAGGCAATGCTGACTGAATTCCAGAGTCAAGTACAAGTCGTCACTTGCCTGCACGACGTGGCTCTAACAGTGAAGGTGCTCTACCCTGATAGAACAGATCTTCCATCAACAGGTAAAGTTCAAACAACTGTGCCCTCAGTATTATGTGTTATATGCAGAACATACATCTACATTATCATGTATGTGTGTGTCAGCTCCTCAGAAGCTGCAGGAGTTATTGGAAGAATGCAATTTACCCTCTGACTTCCAGGTGCCTTTTGATCCCCGTGTCAGAGCAGGAAGTATCATAGTGAGTTGATATATTTATCTGTAGGGATTGTTTCCAGTGTATGCTTGAATGTTATAAGATTTTTTATATAGAAAACTTCAGAAGCATCTCTATGTTGTGGGTTTGATTTACTCCCAACCCAAAGGAAACTTGTTCCCAACCTGAATTGTTTGTAATCCTTTATAAACTAATCTGAACTAAAAATAACTTTAAAAAAGGTCATTAATGCAGAGTCCACACTAAAATGAAAATTCTGTTTTTATTTATTCACCCTCATTCATTCTTTTGAAAAATAGCTTTTTGGACCTGAATGTTTTTAACTGAATTAAAACATGCTTCAGAATATCTGCTTTTATATTTGGCAGAAAGACAGTCATACAACACAGTTTAGAACGACACTGCAACGTTGCTTTTTGGACCTTATTGACCTTTATTGTTTAATTAAAACATGCTTCAGAATATCTGCTTTTATATTTGGCAGAAAGACAGTCATACAACACAGTTTAGAACGACACTGCAACGTTTTCATTTTTGGTTGAACTATTACTTTAAAGGGGTCATATGATGCAATTTCAAGTTTTCCTTTCTCTTTGGAGTGTTACAAGCTGATTGTGCATAGATAAGATCCCTGAAGTTGCAAAGACTAAAGTCTCAAAACCAGAGAGATATTCTTTATCAAAGTTAAGACTCTGCCACGCCCCTCTAAAACGGCTCGTTCTAACACGCCCCCACATATCTACCTCCCTATGTGGAAATATTAGCATAATGCCACCCAAATGTTCACACAACGAAAGAAGGCATGGTTTCAGTAACCGCAGTTAGTGTTGAAGCAGCCATGTCAGGGAGACGCTGTGTGTTTCTAGGCGAAAGCAAAAGCACTTTATTTGGCCTTCCGAAAGTAGATGCATTTAGGAATCTTTAAGATTATTTACAACAGAACAGCAATGCATTTTATAGACGACCGTTTCGTGAACCTAGGAGAGGAGGTAATTCTAACTTTGCTATGACAAGCTGGCGCTTCTGAATCAGCTACAGTTTTGTTATTAGTTTAAGTATTTGCTATTGACTGTTCAAATGCGGAGTTTTGCGCATCATGTGTGTGTGTGAGTGCGTGCGCGCGTGTGTGTGAGAGAGAGAGAGACAGGGTCACATCACAGTGGAGTCAGCTGTCTTAACTTTGGCTTGTGTACTGCAAACACATACCAGCTTCATCACTGTGTCTGTCACGCGACTCTGTTCCCCTTTCGGGCTCTGTCTTTACATTTATTTTGAAAGATGAAGCTCGCGATTATGGTAAGGGACGTTACATTTCCGACGAGTGCTTGCGGTGTTCGGCCAATCACAATGCACTGGGTCAGCTGGCCAATCAGAGCAGACTGCGCTTGTCGGAAGGAGGGACTTTGTAGAAAACGAAGCGTTTGAGAGAGGCGGGGCATAGAGGACCTACAATAATGTACAGTATTTGAAAAATAATGTGTTTTTTGAACATTAAAGCATGTCAACATATTCTGTTACACCAAATACACAAAATAATGATCTTTAAAAAAGCATCATATGACCCCTTTAACTCAAACTGTTTTTCATACAGCTGAAAGACTGTAAAGTGATGGCCTCTAAGAAAAAGCCACTCTGGCTTGAGTTCTCCTGCGTACAGTCAGAAGCTCCAGCCTCTCCTCCTGTCGGCATCATCTTTAAGCATGGAGATGACCTCCGACAGGACATGCTTATCATCCAGGTAAATAAGCAAGTACTAAAAACAATTGACTGATTTTCACCAGTAAGTAGAAGCCAAATTAAGAAATTAAAGGGTTTTTTAAATGTTGTTTTTTTCAGACGCTAATGGTCATGGACTCAATTTGGAAAGAAATAGGTTTAGACTTGAACCTGGTGCCCTATGGCTGCATTTCAACAGGACATAACATAGGTAATGATCAGTCTCTCTCTTGTTCTTATAATAGAAGTACAATACCACAGTGAGAGCACTTAAAATATTCAACAAACACTGACAGAAAAGCAAAAATATATTTTAAAATAATAATAATTATGGCACAGCACTCTTGGACACTTGATTCTGATTGGCTGCAGAATTCTGTGGTACAAAAAAACGTCTAATGACCAACAAACAGATTAACTACCTGTTGTCTCTAACTTAATATTCAGCTGTATATCTGTCTTTGACGCAGGAATGATTGAGATTGTGCGGAATGCGATCACTATTGCCTCAGTTCAGAGGAGTCAGGGAGGTGTGGCGGGAGCTTTCAAAAACAATGCCTTATATGACTGGCTTCAGAGGAAGTGCCCATTCCAGGAAAAAGTAAGCATATATACTGTACTAATACTATGTCATGTGAGCTGCCTTCTGTTATTCTACCAGATCTGTTTTCTGTAGTGTCTCTACAGTCTGACAAGCAGATATTCGATCGTTCTCTTCCTTTTGTCTTGAACTTTGGCACTATACAGCACTTTCAATCTATGGAGAAGTTTGTGAACTCGTGTGCCGGTTACTGTGTGGCTACATACGTGCTGGGTATCGGTGACCGCCACAATGACAACATTATGATCACTGAACAAGGTAAAAGAACAAGTTAGCTTTTGTCATGAGCCTCTGATAAGACAAAAGAAAAAAAATCACATCATCATGTGAATTATTGAATTTGCAAAACCAGCAAACCATGTAGATGAACATATTACAAATAAATGATCCATTTCAACTTCAGTCATGATCTTGTTACATCTAATTACTAAAATATGATTAATGTCACATATTTGATCTCTACCATCCATACAAAACGTTCAGAGTTTTATGGGTAGATTTTTAGAGAGGGTTCAATAACACAGAACATGCATTGAGTAGATGTATTGAGTAGATCCACTTGCAATTAAACTAATGTTAAATTCTCTATTCTTCTCAGGGAACTTGTTCCACATTGATTTTGGGCACATCTTGGGCAACACTAAGAGCTTCCTGGGGGTGAACAGAGAAAGGGTGCCCTTTGTCCTCACCCCTGACTTCCTTTACGTTATGGGCAGGGTGAAAGGCCGTCCCAGCCTCTACTTCCAGAGATTTAGGGTAGGTTCTGTTGCACGGTTTCTTTTTGAATTTTTTTCAGTGTTACAGGGCCTTGCAACCAGTGCTGTTATTGTTAACTAAAATGATATTTAAAACTATTCAAATCTGTTACCGGAAATTAAAATGAAGCTGAAATAAAATATTATAATAAAAACTTAAACTTAAAAATGAGAAGGGTTGCCTCTACAACTAAGACAAATAAGTTGAAGTAATAAAATGACCAATACTGAAATAAAAATCAACTTAAAGCTTTATAGAAATATATATAAAACAAAAAAAATAGAAATGACACAAAAAAAGCACATGAAATTACTAAAACCTAAATTAAAATGACAACTGAAAATATTAAATTAAAATATAATTCAAAATATTAAAAAATACTACATTAGTTAATAAATAATACTAAAATAATACATGCAACTAACACAAAATTTGAGAAGCGTTTGTTTCTCCTGTCAGCCCATTTTATTATGCTTTTAGAAGTTTACCCTCATCTGGATTCATGATAGAGTAACTAATAAAAAAGAAAACAAATCTGAATGCTTAATCATGCAGTCAAAGTAATGCTACAGCCATACTCTGAACTCCAGTATCTGTTCTTTCTTTAGGACACCTGTATCAATGCCTACCTGTCCCTCCGGGCTCAGTCTCGCCTTCTTGTCACGCTCTTCTCTCTAATGCTACTCACGGGAATCCCTGAGCTCAGCATGTCACAGGATATGCTCTACCTGCGAACTGCACTGCAGCAGGATCAGGGGGAGGAAGAAGCTCGGAATCACTTCCTGCAGCAGATTGCCCTATGCGAGCAGAAAGGTTGGACTGTTCAGGCAAACTGGTGGTTTCACATGATGGCGGGCATTAAATAGAAAACATATGGAATCTATGTACCTTTTTGACAATTACTGTAGCAAAGGGAATGTCTGTTCATGCTACAATTCCTAGACGTCAAAAAGTTTGAGAACCAAACAGTTTGAAGATCATCATTTACTCACCCTTATATCATTCCTAACTTGACATTCTGATTTCCTTTGCTAAGTAGAATACAAAAGGAGATGTTTGTCAGAATATTCATGCTGCTCTATGCAACAAAAGTGACCAGGGGCTGACAAAAAGCCTAAAATCCTAAAAGGACCAAAAAGCAGCATTAAAGTACCACAGAAGCGGTCCATTTTAAGTCTTCTGAAGCCATACAATATCTTTATGTAAATAATAAACAAAAACTAAATTATTGCTTACTGATTTTTTCTTCTTCTCTGTAAACCTCAAATCTCATTTATGCCTTTTAAACGTGCAAATTCAAATTTTGAATTTTAAATTTTGGCTGAACTATCCCCTTAAATGTTATTTTATCTTACAAATTACATGGAGAATGTTTTGTGTTTATTATAAACAATAAAGTTTTGTTTGCTACTTCACGTTTCTATTTTTTTCCATTAAACAATCACAGAGTCCGAGTCACAATTCACAGAATGAATTCATTTTTAATTTTAATTTAATTGAATTAAGACTCTCAACCATTAGAAAGACCATCAGTGTGTCATGACAGTACTGTAAGTAAATAAGGATGACACACCAGGAAATCACATGCTCTCATATGAGTACCATCCTGCTATTTACAGTTGTTGCCTTTAGAGGGCACCCTGGCCCACATTCACCTCACATGCACTGGGTCATGAGACAACGGACCTAAAAACACGTTGCTTGTTAACAATAGACTCTGAGATAAAATTGTTTCAGTTCTTGTTAATAGTATTAAAAGTACAACATAAAAATGTAAACTTCCCCCGCAAAGGCCATGTTGTTGGGTTGTCGTGGCTGTTGGTGAGGGTATGGAGAGAAGGGAGGGGTGTTTGGTGGGTGTAGGGGTGTTTTCAAAGCCAGCAGTTTGGGGGGCATGGGCGGGGGGCTGTCAAGTCTGTCTGAGAGACTGTTTCCAGACAGACAAGCCTCCATGCTTATAGCTTCTCATCTCTCATCCACTGCATCCTCACAACATGCTGTTCTTCCTTCAGTCTTTTCCTTTGTTCATCAATGTTGAGGTATTTTTCATTATTTTTACGTTTCTCATTTTAATCAAGTTTTGTCTTTAAAACAGCTCAGCATTCATTTACTTCACTCTTCCTCGATTCCTCTTTCTTACGCACTCACACACAAACACACACACGCCAAGACGGCATCACTGTGTTTCTGACAAGGATGAGCACATGGTCGTCCCACACACTGGTATCTTTTCTTGGGACTGACCGTTCTTCACTATAAGAGCTCTTCAAGAATTTTGAATCTCTGTTACTGCACTTTATCAAAAGGTAAGACTATTCACAATAGATTGAATGTTGATGAATATATATGCAACAATTATATATTACTTATAAGTTTCTACGTTTTTTTCATTTTTTGGTCTTCAGATACATTGACTTTCAGCCGCTGATTCAAAGTCTTCCCTCAGACAAGATGAGTGTTACATAGACAAAAAAGGTATTCATTCTATCATTTACTATTTATATATAATACATAATTAGAATAATAATATTAAAAAATATTATAAATATGTTACATAAAATATGGTTGTCAAGAACTGAGGCTAATAATTCTAGGTATATTATCTGTATTTTCTAGGTATATATATTTTGCTATAAATGTATTTTTGCTTTACACTTGATTCCCTATAGGTCTTTTGGTTCAATTACAGTGAACCATGTTCAGAATTACAGTATAGCACTGCTTTACACTATATCCTCTACGTAACACCCTGCTTTTAAACCCACATGGATTTGTGGTCATATTCCATCGCCATGTGCTCTCCTTGAGGTCACACCCTCAAAGAAAAAAATAAAAATAAAATAAAAAGCCATATCTGATTCAACCTGCTTTCTATAATCGAGAAGCTCCAGTAATTACTTATAAGGGTGTGTCAGTGGGCAAGTCAATTCATATCTGTTTGAGTCCAGGTTACTGAGTGCATGTGGAAGACAGAGTCAAGCAGCAATGGTTTCCAGTGCAGAAAAGAGCACTGACCTAGTTCACGCCAGACAGAACAGCCAGACATGCCCCCAATTTCCCCACATTATTAAAAAAAGTTAGAATGAGGATTTTTCTAATTACTGTCAAATCAATGCAAAGTCAGTAACACAACAAATGACTAAAAAAAACATTTTGTAATGCATTGTGAGGTAATAGTGTATATATAGTTTCATTAGTGTGTTCTGTAACACTACTGAAAGATTCTGACTAAAGAAAATGCTAATCATCAAGGTGACTTCAGAAAATGACTTTAAAGGGGTCATTGGATGCTACATGAACTTTTACAAGTTGTTTGAACTGAAATGTGTGTTGGCAGTGTGGGTACACAACCACCCTATAATGATAAATATCCACCCAGTGTTTTTTTTTTTATCTACTAAAATTTTTACCCCTTTCTCAAATCGAGCCGATCTCAGATGCCTGTCTGTGTGACATCACAAAAACAGGCCCCTCCCACGATAGTTTGATTGACAGTAGCGTTTCAGCACAGACTGGACTGGTGTCTGACCTTAGACCCGCCCTGAGTGAGCTGTCATCAGTCTGCCATTGTTTCACCACCGGAGCAGATGTAGACAAGAATGACTCCTAAGCAATTGAGGTGTTCTGTTGGTGGATGTACAGTAATAATGAACATAGCAGTAGCAGTCATCATTTACTCCCGACATCTGAGTCCCCCCCCCCCCCACCAAAAC